ACTGCATGTTAGGTTTGTGCCCTCATTTTGACACTTGTGCATTATAAATTATTTTTAGTTTTCAAGGCAATATTTATTTTTGATATAAAAATATCTAATTATTTGCTTTAACCTCCTTTTTGGTTTATACCTGGATATTACTACTAAAAATTTTTTTTTTTAATTTCAGCATGATTTCAAAATCACAAGCTCAGTATTCTTGGTTGCATTCCATTTTGGAAGACCTACAGAGAGCTGTCCTTCCTCCCACTCCCCTAATATCCTGCCCTTGCCTTCAGCCATGTCACATGTTGAAGCCACAAAAGGAAAGAGCACCCTATGAAGCTTTCTCTCCCTCTCCCCGCTTCTACCTACTCTGTCCCCAACACACACACACACACACACACACACACACACGCACGCGCGCGCGCGCGCTCTCTCTCTCTCTCTCTCTCTCTCTCTCTCTCTCTCTCTCTCTCTCTCTCTCTCTCTCTCTCTCTCTCTCTGTCTCTCTGTCTCTTTCTTCTGTCTGTTATGTTTGTCTGTTTTTGTCTCTGCTCTGTCTTTCCCTGTGTCAGTACTTGCTTGTCCTTCAGTCTGCCTGGCTGCCTCTTCCTTGCTGGGCATTCACAGTGCTCTCCTCATTCAGGGACAGAGTGTGCTTTCTCTGGGCTGGTGCCAGATCCTGGAGAGAGGAGCGCTTTGAAAACTCAACTTGGACTCCTCAGCAAGCCACATTGCAGTTACGTTTAGCATCTGGCTACCACTTTGTCCATTTAATATGGGGTCCCTAGGCCTATCCATGATTTGCCTGTTTCTCTTTTGATCTAGAAACAAACTCTTTTTTAAAGCTGGAAGCACAGTTTAAAATTTTATGAAAAAAAGGACCTATAGTGAAAGGATGAGGGGAGTCCAGTTGAACTGTAACTTAATTTGGTTTTTCCTCCTTGCTTTCCTGTGAGAGGAAAGTCAGATGCTGTCCTTTTCACAGAATAAGTTACCAGTCCATTTTTTAAAGGAACATTTTAATTTGGTAGCATGACAAGGACTTGAACTGGCACTTTTCAGCCAGAATCTCAGTTACACACACACACCCCACAATGTTTCAAACTTTAGTCAATGAAAAAGATTCGTGTGGTAGATTGCCATTCTTAGTTTTTAAATAGGTTGTATTGTTGTTGAAGTAGAAAATAGAAATTTTTTTGAAATATTATTGATATATCAGCAGACTTTTAATGTTAGGAAGCTTTGAACATTGATTTTCTAGTGCTAAATCCCAAATTAAGAATTAATAGGCAAGAAAGAAAAGATTATGTTAACTAAAGAATACAGGAGGGTGGACCATGATGGGAATAGAAAATTGAAAGGATAAGCTTAAAGTTATAGTCAGTTTTGCTATATAACACAGCATGCATTCCTAAAAAATTACCATACTATGCAAAATTGTTCAATAAAAACCACACAAGGCATATTGGGCAAATAGGGTTATGGCACAACACTCACAAACTTCATTAGTGACACACACAGAAAAAGACAGGAACTTAATGAAAATGGTAGCACGGTCTTACATATGTTAAACAGTTAAAAAAATACATAAATACTGAAATACACATGGCAGTTTACCTTGAAAAGATCTGATGTTTTGTTTGTGGAAGTTGGCATGGGAAGGGTTTCAGCTTGTGAGTTACTTTGAGTGGTGGACGTGGGTTATTTGAAATTGGATAGAAAGTTGTAGCACTAAATGTGTTTGGGTGCGGTTCATAACACTCATGGTGAACTGAGGTGGATAGTGGAGGTTTAAGGGATTTGCATTTTGTGTATGTCCATGTGGCACAGTTCAGCCATGTGGCTGCATTCACCTATAATTTCTTGCAGACCCAAATCACGGAAAAGCAAATGCAAAATTTTTTTATGCTCACATTGTTCCTTAGCATATCAGTGGCTTTGGAATATTTGCATTCTCAAAAGAAGCTTTATAGCAAAACTGAGGGTATTTAATTAGATTGATAATTTTATCTAATCATTTGATCCTGGAGAAAATATATCACATTTTCTCTGAGATAACTGCTTGTGAATTCTGTTACCCAGGGAGTAAAAGGAGTATACTTCCTAGAAATCAAAGTTCTGGTTGAGAGTTTTCTCTTTTGTCATACGATAGATAGGTATTATCCTTTCAGTGCACTGCTCTAGGAGGTACACAGGTAATTTTTGTAGATGAACGTGGATGAATATTGTTATTTTAGTGTATATCAAAAAAACATACATACCAAACTGATTGTTTCATAGATAGTGTTTTGGAAAAGTATCTCTTGGTTGAGCATAGTGGTGGTCCCCTTCACCCTGGAACCCATCTGGAAATGGATTAGAGAGTGATTTCAGGTTATCTATGGCAGAGGGGTGCTGCTAGTGATTAAGTGCTGAGGGACTAGAAATGCCAACCTTTTTGAAATCCTGTATGAAGAGTTATACAGTTCCAAATACCTCTATGAGGGACTGGTTAGTATTAGATTAAGGAGAAGGAGGAAATGATAGAGTTGATCATTTTAATTAAAATGCTAATTTAAAAACGTGTTTTGTGTGTCTTTGATAAGAATGATAAAATAGTTTGCAGTTGATGAAAGTTTGGAAAGCACTAGTTTACAAGTGGTAAGAATGAGTTTTATTTAACCCTTATATAAAGTGCCTTGCACCAGATAATATTCTCAGTGCCATGCAGATGTTAACTTATTCAGCTGTGGTTAATGGTTCTGGAGGCCTTAGCTTACTCCTTGGTAGTCTCTCAACTTGGGCTGCACAGTAGAATCACACAGGAAAGCTTCTCAAAGTCTGGATGCTCCGACCACACCCTAAACCAGTTAAATTGCAGTTTCTGAAGGGAGGGACATACACATCAGTGTTTTTTAAAGCTCCTTAGTTATTCCAATGTATATGCAAGGTTGACAACCACTGGTCTAGGGTCTTTTGCAAAAAAACTCCCTTTCACAATAAAAGCTATAACAGTTGTGCAAACGTCAATTGAACACCTATTTCATGCCATACCTCACAGAGGACGATGATGGAGACACAGCTTATGGAAGCTTCATCATCCGAGGCAGGTGACATAACTTCCAACAGTCCTGGCTGTTTACAGTCCTGGCTGACAAGTGCTTATGTTTAGAAGTATGTTTATAGTGTTAACGGTCACAGAATAGATAAAAACTTTTTTTTTTTTTTGTAGACATGATGCCTTGTTATGTTGCCCAGGTTGATCTTGAACTCCTGGGCTCAAGCAATCCTCTTACCTTGACCTCCCAAAGTGCTGGGATTACAGGTGTAAGCCACCATACCTGGAAGAAAAACTAACCACTTAGATGCCAAATTTGAAAAATTATTAAACTGAGGGTACTTTAGGTTTCCCTTCCTTGCGTACAACTTTCATACTGGAGGGGGAAAAAGCAGGAGACGTTTATAAATCACTATTAATTTAACCTTGATTGTAGCCTTGTGGTTGAGTTGAAAAACTTGAATTCTTTCTGTAGATAGCATAATTTTGTACGGATGTAGAACAGGCTCTTAAATACCTCGTAAAGCACCATCACTGTCCTTCCAGAAATATCATCACAGCTTCACCGAGAGTCTCAGGGCTACTATAAGAAGACTTTTATAAATAAGCAATTTAAGTGATGTTTGTAGTAATTGATTCTAATATGCTTAATGCTTTTAATACTCATGTAGCTTCCATATTGTGATAAGTCACTGTTGGGTCACATACATTTTAAAATTTAGAGTTAAGCAAATGTGTAATTTTTTTGTTTTTTTGAGTTGGAGTCTCACTCTATTGCCCAGGCTGGAGTGCAGTAGCATGCTCAAAACTACCCCAGCATTGACCTGCTGAGCTCAGACGATCTTTCCGCCTCAGCCTTTCAAGTAGCCAGAACTACAGGCGCGTGCTGCTGTACCCGGCTAGTTGTTTTGTTTTTTTTTTTTAATTTATTGTAGAGATATGGTCTCGCCAAGTTGCCCAGGCTGATCTTGAACCCACGGGCTCAGGCAATCCACTTGCCTGGGCCTCCCAAAGTGCTGGGATTACAGACTGAGTCACTGAGCCTGGCCCAAATGTGTAATTATACATTACAAATTTAATTGAAGGCAGCTACTAAAGTACTTAAGTGGATAAAGCTACCAAATAATTGACTTGTTTCTGATGGTAACATTCTTCAACAACTCTTGATTTATATTAGTTTGGGTTGTCTTACTCTGAGAAAACCTGATTCTCCAGTGAATAGATTTATTTTCAGCAAAACCTTTGTAGTCTGTACTTAACCATGAATTACTTCCTGGTTTAAAAAACAGGCGTAGCTATTTGTGGTATTTTTGTCTTGCGCCTTTGGCATCTTAGTGGTGTGAACCGGAGCTATGCCATCTGTAGTCAAGTGAGATTATTAAAAAAAAGGGGGGTGGGGGTAAAATGATTCACTGGAAAATTTCAGCACAGATTCTTAAGGAATGATACGATAACCCTAGAAACAGTCTTATTTGGTGTCATATGCTGGGGGTAGTGACACAAAAAATAAAAAGAAGGTACAACTTGTTTCTTAAGATTTTGCTGTTTTGAAAATCAGAGAGGTACTATGCTAGAAAGGAAGAAAGAATCCCATGCAGTATCAATTAGCAGAACACTAGATGAATAATTTTCCTCTCTCTGAATGCAAGTTGGAGCCAGTGAGGTTCGTTTCTAGCATGCAAAACCTAAAAAGGCAATATTCTCATATTTAGGATGGTCATTTAATTTCTTAATGGGTATAAGTGATAAACCTCTTTATGCTGAGATACTTGGGAAACAGAAGGACCAGTTCCTAAAATCCTAAGCGAGTCTGTGAGGCCTAGATACTCCATTTCTGAAAGCTGCTGAGTTTAACATATGTTCATTTAATTAATGATATATATTTTAACTTAAATGTATTGACTTCAAGGAACTCTTCCAGAGTTACATTTGAGATTTGCCTGAAACGTGTCTTTTTTTTATTTGTTTTCCTTTTCAGAAAGAAGACACAGTTCATCCAGCAAGCCTTCTCTGACCGTTCCTCCCACTTCAGTATTTTCCTTCTTCCCTTCTCTGTCCAAAAGCAAAGGAGGCAGTGCAAGTGGAAACAACCGTTCTTCCAGTGGAGGTGTTCTTAGTGCATCCTCATCAAGTTCCAAGTTGTTGAAATCACCCAAAGAGAAACTCAGGGGGAACACCAGGCCAATGCATCCCGTTCAGCAAAGTAGAGTTCCCCATGGTAGAATGTGAGTATGACCAAGAGGGTTTTTGAAGTTTTCCTGCTGGAAATGGAACTGTGTTTACCAGTGGCATCTGAGAGTGTCTGTGAATAGTGTAAAAGAGAGCCCACTTTAGGAAGAATTCAAATATATGTTGGTCTTTTTTGTTTTCCTCCATATCTTAGGAAACTTTTCAGAGTAGTAATAGCAATAATAACATTAAAAATGTGTATTAATCCTTTATTATGTACCAGTTAGTGAAACTAAGCTCTTTGTGTGTTCTTTGTCATTTAATTATCACTGTCATTTAATTACCACAGCAATCCTGTGGAATCGGTATTGTTGTTATCCTTGTTTTCTAGATGAGGAGAGGGGAACTTAGTAAGATTGAGGAGCTTGGTCTGAGGAGACCTCAGGTCAAACACACCTGGATTCAAATATCACTTCCTAGCTGCAGGACTTTGGGCAAGGTGCTGTTTCTCTTGGGTCTAAGAATAATAGGCACTTTCCAGGATTCTTGGGAATATTCAAGTTAATATGTGTCTGACCCATAGAAGTTAGTTAATGAATGGATGCTGACACTCTTGCTACTGTAGCTGTTGATAATAGCAGTGATATGAAGGTGAAGAGATTTCCAGATGCTGCTTTATAATTTTCTGGGACCTGCAAAGCAAACAGGGAAGCAATGCTGCCTCTCCTCAGCCTTGGGTTCACATCACAGCAGTGATGAAGAAAGACTGAAGGATGTTTACACCCACCTGGCAGGGCTGTGGCAAGTTTCCATGGTGGCTCTGTAGATTGGCAGGCTCCTCAAGCAGCTTTGACTCCCATAACCACATACCTTACCTTGGCATAGTTTTCTTCATTCTGGTGTTCAGTGGCTTTTCCCTGGCCTGCCTCCCTTTGGAGAGTATGCCCCACATCTTAGTCCCAAAGTCCGGTAACCTAGTTAATCTCAGGGTAGGGTTTAGCACCTGTTACTGCTCAAGAACCTTGCCAACTGGGAGAGGCCATGACGTTTTACAATGTCTCTGCTGCTGTCAGACTATTCCAGGTACAGCTGTTTGGGCCTGTTTGTCCTGGTTGCTAAGTCCCCAGCCCTTCCTCATCTGTCAGAAGCGTAGTACAGCAAGCTTGGCTTTCATTTCATGAGCTGTCTGAAAGCCAAAGAAAATGCCAGTGCAGCGCATAAGTCACTGGCCAGCTTAGCAGCTGTTAGAACACTGACTGCACTGAACAAAGTTTATATAGCCTCATCAAGCCAAATCTTCTTTACTTGGAGCTAGGGCTTTAGAGGGGGACCAGGTCAACTATTAGTTCCCTACCAACATCTGCAATTTTCCCAAGCAAAATGATACTGTCAATAAGATTTCAAAAGAATTCTTTGTTGGTAGCACAGGTATTCAGCACTCACCAACTTATATCACATGCTTATATTCGAAGTTCCTATCTTAGAAACCTTTTCCAGGGACTGGAGAATTACCACTTTAGTGACACACATATATTAATTAAACATTGGTCTCCTTCACTGACAGAAGCAGAGAGCTTTAATAACATTTCTTAGAAGTATTTTCTCACTCAAAAGTTTGCCTTGTTTTGATGAATTCCTTTTTTTTTTCCTTTTTTGAGATTGGCATCTTGCTCTGTCATCCAGGCTAGAGTACAGTGTTGTGATCATAGTTTTCCCTGCAGCCTCAAATTCCTGGGCTCAAGAAATCCTCTTGCCTCACCCTCTCAAGTTGCTGGGACTTCAGACAGGTGTCACCATGCCTGACAACTTTTTATTTTATTTTATGTTTTTAGAAGGGGGGGTCTCACTGTTGTTTGGTCGGTTAGCCTTGAACAACAGGCCTCAAACAAGCCTCACATCCTAGCCTGCCAAGTAGCTCAGATTATAGGTGCGAGCTACTGCACCTGGCAAATTCTCTTTCTTTTTTTTTTTTTGAATTGGAGTCTCACTCTTGTCACTAAGGCTGGAGTGCAGTGGCACACTCACGGCCACTGCAACCTTGACCTGCTGGACTCAAGCGATCCTTCCACCTCAGCCTTCCAAGTAGCTGGAACTACAGATACATGCCACTGTGCCCAGCTAATTTTTGTGATTTATTGTGGAGACAAGTTCTCACCAACTTGCCCAGGCTGTTCTCGAACCTCCAGTCTCAGGCAATCCTCTCGCCTTGGCCTCCCAAAGTGCTGGGATTATAAGCTGAGCCACTGCGCCTGGCCGCAAATTCTTCCTTTAAAATGACAGTTCACAAGTGACATTTTCTAAGTGTCCTGCAGATAGTCTTTGGTCCTTTTAGGCTTTTTCATGTTTTGTTTTTTGTAGAAATTTCATTGAATATCAGACCCAAGTCTTCTACAGACTCATGCAAAATTTTACTGAAATGATAAAAGACCAGGTAAGTTTGATGGTCCACTGGCGATTTTGTCTTGCCAGAAGGGTTTATAGACTTAGTAAGTGTGAGCCCTACTGATTTTTATAGATCGTCTTAACAGAATTTATAAGTTGCCTTCTAAGAGGTTGGTCCTATGCAGTGCTCAGGCAGACCCAGGATTTGCCCTCAATCCCTCTGACTCACTATTTACTCAGGAACCGGTGTTCTTGATTCTTCCCACGACAGCATGACACCCTCTGTGAAAGTGGAAAAGATTCATCCAAAAATCGATGGCACACTACTGAAACCTACAGTGGGGCCAACCTGTCCTGCTACTGTGAGTTCCTCAGTCAAGCCTGGCCTTAACTGCCCCTCAATACCAAAGCCAACCTTGCCTTCACCTGGACAGATTCTGAATGGCAAAGGGCTTCCTGTACCGCCCACTCTGGAAAAGAAATCTGAAGATAATTCCAATAACAGAAAATATTTAAATAAGAGATTATCAGGTAATTTCACATTTTCTTATTTTGATGATTTTTTTATATAGTAAATGGACATTCATTTAGTATATAAATTAGCTACTATCTATAAGTTCTCTCTTTAAAATTGGTCAGCTTCAGCTTTCAGAGAGAAAGTTCTTAGGTCATATGCTTGTCTTCTTCACTTTTGGTTCTAATTAGCATGAAAATGTATGGTGTAGGTAATGTAAAAGTAGCTTTTCTCAAGGTGGGTTTTTGAACTTAGTAATGTAGTCATGCTGACTTAAGCAATATCTTACCTGTCATCTGATAGCAATGGTTACCCACTCACTTAGTGATGTTGCTGCTTTGTTACAGTGCTCACACATTGTATATTTTGAAATTGTTGATAACATGCTGGATTTTATTCAAACTATAATTTAATTGTCTTGAGATTTCTCTATTTTCTTATTTACAAAACATGAGGTAAATTTGGCAAGCCCATTGTAATGTCTTTGTGCTTTTGATAGAAAGAGAGTTTGATCCTGACATCCACTGTGGGGTCATTGATCTTGACACCAAGAAGCCCTGTACCCGCTCTTTGACATGCAAGGTAGGTAGGTGCCTTCTGAAAGTAGAGCTGACTACTGTGATAAACACAGGGACCTGGGATGTACCACACTGCTCCCAAAGTCTCTCTGACTCACAGGTGATCTGATAATCTGTGAAGTGTTCTGAATTGTTGTAAATGAAGAGATCACTTGGTTCTGTTGAAGAAAGCCTTGACAGAATATGAAGTGCGTTATTATAAATTATAATCTTTGAGAGGGGTTTTGTTCCTAATGAGTAGTGTTGTATCCAGGGGAGTAGTGAGTGTTCTTTCCTGATCAGTCTGTTATTTTCAAAGACTTAATATTTCCACATAGAAATTTAATACAAGAGGCTCCCCTTTGTGGTTTAAATTATACTGACTTAAAACAAGTCCAGAAATTTCCTTTGCATATATATGAATATTTTAAAAATGTGTAATCCTTGATTCTTAAGTTTTAAAGAACTACTTTAAAAAAATTTCTATGAAATAGCCTTATTTTCTAGTTAAAAAAAAAATTACTAGCAGCCAGGTGGAAAGCACCTGTAATCCCAGCTGCTTAAAAAACCAAGGCAGGAGTCCAACCTAGGCAACATTGTGAGACCACCATTTCTTAAGTTAAAAAAAAAAAGAAAAAAATCACATGTAGTCTAACTTTTTATGTAAACTAAGAAAACATAATGCTCCTCCTTTTTGTTCTGAAGTCTTTATTTAAAATGCCAATATACTAATAAGAAGGTGGTATATTTGCTGTAAAGTAAGGGTTATTGATATGGGGTATCTTCAGGGTATCAGTGAATCCCTCTACATATATGAGCATGTATGTTTATGTGCATTTCTCTGAAAAGTGTACCAATTAATTACCCTTCAGAAGGGTTAAAGAATATTAAGAAACACTGTTTTGAAGTGTAATTTTAATACCTTTTGCAGAGAGGGAGTAAAATTATAAAAGTTAATGTTTCCTTCTGAAACTTAAAAAAAGTATTGGTGTTTAATTTTAAATTTTTCCAAAGATTGCATTTGAATAAAGGACTTCAGGCCTCACTCTACCCCCCTAACAAGTGGAGGAATATTATAACCTTCTGAAGTAGAAAATTTTTATTTTAAAATGGTCCTTATTTTAATTTCTAATTTAGTTTTAGTGCATAAATTTTGTCTTACAACAGTGAATCTAAATGTTGTGGGGAAAAGGGTTGGTCAAGAGTGCCTTTAAATATCTATTTTTTAAAATCATGGACCTCCTTTCCAGAAAAACTGTAGTACATATACATATATATTCTGAATTTTGCATTCCACCTAGGGTTAATGGATTCCCCTCCCCAAGCCCATTCTTAGATCTCTAGATTAAAAGCTACTCTAATAACAAACTGCTTTTGTTTTTTATAGGATACTAATTGAATACATGTAGTGGTGTGGTAGTTTTTTGTTTTTTTGAAGCTAGCCGTCTGAGCTCTGTGGAATCAGCTGCCCTTAAGAGAGTTTGTGAAAGCATGTTTCAGCCCCATTCCACATTATGATCACAACTCACCATCCTCTCTCTGCCCTCTTCCTGTCTACCTGGCTGTCAATAACATGGATTTCTCAGTAATACAGTACCTATGGGCAATGATGGATGCTTTTTCTTACTCAAGATACTCCTTTTGTATCATCTGTGAAGATGGTGAATCATACTTTTTGTTCTTTCTTTTTTAAAAAAGATTATTTTATTGTAGTGAGAGCACTTATATCTTAATGAATTTTTAAGTGTGCAATACAGTATCATTGACTATGGGACAATGTTGTATGACAGATATCTAGAATTTATATTCATCTTGCTTAACTGAAACTTTATGCTTGTTGAAAGTAACTCCCTATTTACATCTCCTTTATACCCTAGCAACCACCATTCCCCTCCTTGATTCTATAGAATTTGATTATTTTATATACCTCATAAAAATGGAATCATGCAGTATTTGTCTTTCTGTGACTGGCTTATTTATCTTTGCATAATGTCCTCAAGGTTCATTCTTGCTGTGGCATTTTGCAGAATTTCTTTTCTAAGGCTGAATAACATTCCATTGTATGCAGTGTATGTGTATACTATATTTATCTGTTTATGCACATTTAGATTGTTTCCATATCTTGGCTATTGTAAATAGTACTTTAGTGAACATAGGAGTGCTAATATCTCTTTGAGATTCTGATTTCAATTCTTTTGGCTAAAAAGGTTACCAAAAGTTTTTTTAACTTAAAATCTGTGAGGCGCTTGACCATTGTTCTTCCTGTGCCTTTATTGCTGGGCAAACTGACTTTGTATGGATCTGCATTTTTCCTCCATCTTCCTTTTCAAATGTGTGCTCCTTGTAGGGTGTTATTTCTAGCTGTGGCATGGCACTAGGCCTGTAAGAGCATTAATGTGTCTTCGGCCCTGGCTTGTCATAAGATCAACTGGCAGAAGATGCAGCATCCACCAGGCCTGTCCTTTCATAGGATTGCCTTGACTTTCTTCCATTGTTCTGTCTCAGTTCTCCTCCTCCCTTTCCTTGCCTTCATTTTGGCCTGACTTTGTTAAGCTGTATGGGACTAAACATTCCTGAGTTCCCCCATCCTGAATGTTCTCCAAGTTGCTGCCAGGTTTCTTCTGTCTTAGACTTAGAATGTTGTTTGTCTCTTCACTGCCAGGGGATTTGCTGCTGTTCACTCCCATTACTCATTCTCTTTTTTCTGTCTGTCACCCTCACTGCCTCCTGCTCATTTCCTCATCTGTCTAATATCCTGTCTAAAGACCTCTGTGTGTTCTGTGCAGAGAGATTTGTAACTTCAGTACCCTTTGTCCATTTAGTCATTATGGAACTCTTTATTGCATTTAGCTGGGTACATTCTAGGTCCCAGAAGTTAAAGGATTTAGCAAAATCAAGACGTATTCTTTGTTTTGTTTTGTTTTGTTTTTGAGTTGGAGTCTCACTCTGTCGCCCAGACTGGAGTGTAGTGGCCGCTCCCGGCCACCGCAGCCTCGACCTGCTGGGCTCCGGCAAGTAACCTTCCAAGTAGCCAGAATTACAGGCATGCGCTACCACGCCCAGCTGATTTTTTTTATGTATTGTAGAGATGAGGTCTCACTGCCCAGGCGGGCCTTGAACCCGCGGGCTCAGGCAATCCATTCACCTCAGCCTCCCAAAGGCGTGGCATTACAGGCTGAGCCACCAAGCCCGGCTTCAGGACGTATTCTTACATTTGTGGTGCTTACAGTCTAATGAAATAGATGGAGATTAAGCTAATAATTACTAAAGTAAGTATAAAATTACCACTATTGAGTTATTAAAAGGAGAGACTTGTGTTATTAAAGCTTACAATTGGGAGATTTGGCCAGGGAAGGCTTTCTTGCCACAGGATCCTTGGGCTGAAATCAGGATGATGATATATCTGGGTGGAGAGGGATGGGAGAGGCAGGAGAGGTGGAGGAAATGACATTGTGAAGGCTCTGTGATGGGGCAGAGCAAATACCTTAGAGCCTGAAAGGAGGCACGTACCAAAGGAGCAAGGAGCAATGAGCAGGATCTTAGAGTGTGGAGGGGCCCAGAAGCCTAGTTACAGTCCGTGCTTGTCCTGTAAACCTTGGGCAACTCCTGAGAAGCTTTAATTGTGGAGGCAAGGCAGAGGGAATCTTCAAATTTCTGTTTGGGTGTTCTTCAGAGCTCAGCAGAAGTTCTATTTACTCTTCAGACTGAGCTGGGAAAATATTGTCTCCGCTTCCTTTCTTCACTTGCCTTTACTATGCTAAGCACCAGGGGACATTGAAACTGAAGAGATTTATACATCTGTCTGGAGGAACAGTCAAATAGACTAGTAACACTGTGTATTCATTCGTTCTTTCAGTGTGCATTGGAGGGCCATTATTTTTATATGCTTTTGTTTGAAGCATTTATTGAATGCCAGGTGCTCTTCTAGGTGCTGGTACTACATGAACAAAACAAAGTTCCTTGTCCTCATTTAAGTTACTTTCTTGTGGCTATATTACGTACTAAAGAAAATAAAGTAAAAATTCAAAAGAAGCTAAGCAAACACATTTATCTGTGCTAGGTTAGATTTTGGGTGGACATAGTTTGTGATATATGTACTAAGGAGATAGGCTATTTGTTGAATTTCAAATGGAAGTTAGAGGCATAAATCTCTTAAGTCCCTTTAAATTATAGCAAACATGCTGTATAAACTACAGAACAATACGTTTGTATTTGTATTGTTTATGGGATCGTGAACACACATAAAGTATCATTTATAGTATTTTGTAATATAAAAGAGAAGGAAATATGTACACGAATTTGTTTACATTTGTGAATATGTGATTGGGGCCACTTTAGCTAATGTAAACTCATCCACTCCAGAGGATAAGTGTCTTCTTGCATTTTTATAGACGGAGACCCTAGCAGTATGAAATAGTCAGGATAAATTGACCTGCAAAATCATTATACAGTGATTGGATTTGACTGCCAATAAGATTTGCCCAACTCTGACCAGTTTACACTTATCATTCCACTTTGTCTTCCGTTAGGAATAGATTATGCTTCCAGTGAGGCTTGTGGATTTTTTTTTAATGTTAGTAACTATCAAATACATTTGGAGTGTAGATGTTTTCTTGTAAGATCTGTGTCTGTCACAGGTTCATATTGGTTCCTTTCTTAAGGCAGGCACTGCCATAGTTTGACCTTTCTTTTTCCCAATGTACTAATTTCTTAATTTTGATATTAGACATTGTCTGAAGAAGACCCAGGGGTGCTGTCCATCCCATTTCCTTGATTTCCGCTGCATGTGTCTATTTTTAGGGACTCATTCTGCTTTACATCTCTTCCTGTTCATAGCCTTTCTTCTCGCAGCCTCACCTTTACTCCTCTCAGATTTTTCTTGACTGTAGCAGTCTTCATCTCCAGAATGATCTGGCCACTTTCTCTCTTTTCATGGCCTTTTCACTGTAGAGAGTAATTGTGTTTAATTTTTACTCTCTAGCAGTTACTGAAAGAATGCTTTCTGGCATATTTTGTGGAATAATTGTTTCTTCCCTTTAATTCAAATTGTAAATGGTCCAAAGAGAGGTTTTTCTAATGGAGTTGGTAAGAGCCCCAATTAACACATTGCAATTGTGGCACAAAACATAAGTATCTATCACCTGTTACTACTGTTTACCACTCAGTTACATAATACCAGGTGGCACAGCTAACATTTTCTCTTTCTTCAGGTGGAAACATTGTCAAATTCTTCTACATTTAGAGTTTATGATATATGCTAGCTAGGGAGTAAAAGATGATGCTCTTGAGATTTTATAGTTTATCAAATACTGAGTGGTCTTTGACTATGCAAATAGTCCAGATTGCTTTATTATTGGGAGTGGTGTTTTGGAATATATAGCAGACAAAAATTACTAATGAGATTCTTCAATTTCTGTACTTTTTTGGTCTGCAGACACATTCCTTAACCCAGCGGAGGGCTGTCCAGGGTAGAAGAAAACGATTTGATGTGTTATTAGCCGAGCACAAAAACAAAACCAGGGAAAAGGAATCGATTCGCCATCCAGACTCTCAGCAACCACCACAGCCTCTCAGGGACCCACATCCCACCCCTCCTAGAACGTCACAGGAGCTGCACCAAAACCCTCATGGAGTGATTCCTTCTGAATCAAAGCCTTTTGTAGCTAGTAAACCTAAACCTCACACCCCTAGTCTTCCAAGGTAAGCCAAGCCCTCCAGCTCTTCTTCTTCCTATAGAGAACAGACTTGCAGACACTGTAAAATCCTGGAATGGTTTTAGAAACATACATCAGACTCCTTATGGAGATTTTTTTTTTTCATGGGGTTTTGCTAAGAGAAAAAAAAAAGTTAAATTCATTGGTAAATTTCAGCTCTTCTTGGCTTCCAATGCAAGCAGCAGAATAAAGCTAGAATTACCTGCTCTATACTTGTTCAGTGTCAGGTGTCTCTTAATGCCATCGAGCAGGGCTGAAATTGGGTCCTTCCTGCAGGTTAGTGGCTGGAACGTTTCACATCACTTTGGCAGCAGTTTACTCCCTGTTTTTTTTTTTTGTCTTGCAAAATACAGCAGTGGAAATTCTTTCTGGGGATAGGCACTCAGCCCCAATTTTTATAACATCCATTTATCAACATGTTTTTTCATTCATTTGGGGCTTTGGCCTGAGCATGTATAAGCATTTTAGCAGTAGCATAAACAATTAATCAGAGGGTTTTAATGAGAACTTATCATATACATACCTCAGAGACAGTGGTGGTGGAAATATGTGTGTGTTAGTGCTTGTAGGCAAAGGATCTCTACCTAATCTCCAGAGGGAAGAAAAAGAGAAAGCATAGAGCATGAGAGGGCTTCAGGGTTGCCTGTTCAGCTGTTGGCAACAAGGGCTTCTGCTTAGAAATGAGCCAACCCTTGGCTGCTGCTGCTTAACATTGCACCCACTCACTTATCTGATTCTAGAAATGGTCACATAAAGATGGAAGTTTTTCCATCATGGAGACCCAAGTGTGTGCTTGAGCCTATCCCAACACAAGCCCTGTGGTTTCTGTCCAGTACGCTGGAGGAACCATCAGAGGATGCTCCCCAGAATGTGGTCAGACCCTGGCCAGAGACTCCTTAGCAAAATCTTTCTTTAGCCATCTTCTCATTGAAGTTTCTGCATCCATAAAAAAGAGAGCTTAATTCTAGAACCATTGGCCATTATAGATGTAGGAAAAATACACACTGCCCTTGAATAAGAGGCTCTAAAACTGTCCACACAGAGTGGTAATACCACCAGTTTATTCTTTTATCATCTCCTGTCTCTCCCAGATTACTTAAAACACTTTTTCATTACAGCCGACCCTTTGTATCCATGGGTTCCACATCTGTGGATTCAACCGAATACAGATTGAAACCGTTCGGGAAAAAAAAGTTGAGTCTGTATTGAACATGTACAGACTTTTTTTTCTTGTCATTTCCTAAATAATAGCAGTATAACTGTTTACATTAGCATTGATATTGCATTAGATATGAATAATCTAGAGGTGATTTGAAGTATATAGGAGGAGGGTCTTGGCGCTTTTGCAGATTTGTGGATTTTGGTATCCTTGGGAGCTCCTGGAACTGGTTCCCCCTGGATAGTGAGGGACAGCTGTATTTCATCTGTTGGCTTAGTAACCCAATTCCGGTTGAAAATTGAAGAGGAATCAAATAATTCTTTTAAATTCCACATATATTTCCCCTTCTTTGGAGAGAATAGAAAGAGGACCTGAGCCCCACATGTGGCTATAGAAAGATCTAGTTATGTAAGTTACCTTTGGTTATATCTGAGAGACAGCTTAATATCATACAGTTCAGGAGAAAGATTTCTTTACTCCCAAACCACCTGGATCAGCATCTGTTTCTCTCACTGCTTATGGTGAAACCCAGCCCTTCCACAGGTGGTTTTGGATATGTTTTTGTATCTGAGTTAAGGCGGCTGCTTCCCAGGAGTCTGATCTGATCTTACTGCACTTTCTACTCACCAAGGCCTCCAGGCTGCCCTGCTCAGCAAGGTGGGAGTGCCCCCATTGACCCTCCTCCAGTCCATGAATCTCCACACCCTCCCCTGCCTGCCACTGAGCCAGCTTCTCGGTTATCCAGTGAGGAAGGCGAAGGCGATGACAAAGAAGAGTCTGTTGAAAAACTGGACTGTCATTATTCAGGTCATCATCCTCAGCCAGCATCTGTAAGTTCCTCATCCACTTCGCGTTGACCCTTCCACACAGCATGGATAGGGGACTGCAGGGGGCATGCACAGGATCTTGGCATGCCCATATGTGTGGGACATAGCCAAGGTGTGAGAGCAGCTCAGAACGGGATGCTGCAGAAGCAGCATGCACTCTGTTTGGGAGACATCTCATGCTTTTCCCTTTCTCTTCCATGAAACTTAGGGCTAGGCATTGTCATTCTCATGCTTCAAAGCCTCTGGTACTCAAAGTCAACTCTGTCTTCCCTGATTAGCTCCTTTCCTGAAGGAAAGCCTGTGTAGGAGTTAGCAAGCACATATGGCTATGTTCTGTCTTTCAGTTTTGCACATTTGGGAGCCGGCAGATTGGAAGAGGCTATTACGTGTTTGACTCCAGGTGGAACCGGCTTCGCTGCGCCCTCAACCTCATGGTGGAGAAGCATCTGAATGCGCAGCTGTGGAAGTGAGTGCCTGTTGGTCTTGGGGAGAGGAGTGCCTTTACTCAGCACTGCATCTTCTCTTTATTTCCTAGGGGACTGATTCTATGAAGATATGCTTATCTAAATGAAAATATGGCCTTTGACTAGCCCTGAGAAGAAGGCATCTTGTTGTTCATTCTTTCACTCATTAAGCAACTACATACTGTTCTGGGTAGCAGGGTTTGAGGCAGAAGGACCACCACATGTATGGAGCTCACAGTCTAGTTGGGAGTAGGGGAGAAAAAAAACAGTCTACAGAAGAATAAATGAGGAAATGACAGCTTGTCATAAGGGAGATAATGAAAACAAATAGTAGCAATCACTAAGACTTCCTGAGAGCCTGGAAGCTTATTAAATATATTTAATTTCCACAGTTCTCTCTGTCAGGTGACCATGATTATCCCTGTTTTATACATAACAAAACTGAGACACATGATCATTCTGCAAGTTAGTGGTATGGCTAGGATTTGAACCTAGAGATTGTTTCCAAGCAAAGCTGAGATGGGAACATAACAGGCCAGAGGGAAAACCTCTCTGAAGAGGTGACCCTTGAACTGAAATGGATGCATGAGAAAGGGCAGCCCATTGGGATGGTGGGAAGGAGTGGGCTCCAGGCAGAAGGAAGCAGATATGTGGAGATCTTGAGTCAGAAAAGAAGACAGCTTATTTGAGAAACGGCAAGAAAATGAGCATGGTACAGGACAAGGTCTGAGAGATAAGCAGGGACCAGGTGACATTAAAATGGATTCTGAGTGCCTTATGTATGCTAGTGTTTCCCAAACAGGATTTGAAGTGGAAGAAGGGTACCACGGCCTAAAGGCCTTAACTCAGCCTTTCCAGGAGTAAAATTGTTTGCATTATTGCAGGGCTTCTCATAACCTTTAATGGGCACTGTGCTTTGTAACTCTCAAAGGAGGGGATGTCATGTATAATGTGGAATGTCTCTCAAGCTCTTTAGACCTGGGAACCTCTTTTGATCTTGAGGAACTAGTGTTTGGTGGGACCTACTTTGGTAAACATGGAGCTTTCCTAAAGGGGCTGTCCAGTAATCCCCTCTATATGGCATCATTTTTCTATTTCACATTCAGTCTGGTTCTTACTGGATAAGAGCTTCTTCTTTATGAAGGAACATTGTCCTTGCCCAGATACAAAATCAGGGGAGTGGTTTGTTGGGGTTCTAGGGTGTCTCTCCACATCAGAACACACTAAGATATATGAAGTCTCAGCTTGTTATTTCTTTAGACTACCGAGTAGGACTCAGAGCATTCATAAGGCTCACTAAACTGTGGGCTTTGTTTACTCCTGAGAATGTAGAAGTGTCCTCAGAATGTTTTATCACCATTATATTGGTTAGTGGCTCATGGCCAGCAGTTTGGATGAAGATGGTTTTGGTTCCTAGTGGCTTATGTGGAGAGACTTTTCTCTTTGTGCTGTTAACTTTTGAAAAATCAGGTCATGAGGTTGACTCTGCTGATTGCTCTCTCTCTCTGTCCTGTCAAAAGGCTGGGGCCTGCCTTATCACTTGCTGCCAAGGAGGAGGAAACCGTTCTTTCCATTAACATGATCTATGGTTTAAGAAAGAAGTCAGTATAGCAACCGCAGATGTATTGTTCATTGATGAGCTAGTGCATAGACTTGGGACCGACAGAGCTTGGAGCATGACACTAGGCATAGGTGCTTGTGGAAATGCCTCTGACACAGGATTGTTAGCACCTGACTCTGGGAGCTATTTTCAGGCAGCCCCTGAGATTTTCAGGGGTGAACTTACTACTGCTCACCTAGAGGAGAACTGTTCTCAGGTGGCATCTTTGAGGCACTCAAGAAAACTTTCAGAGTGGTCCAGGTCCCATCCTACTGGATTAACCAAAAGTCCGGGAAGAGCCCCTGTTGAGTAACACTCTTCCTGGCCCCTTACCCTTTAGTTGCTTATTGTGGTAAATTTGGAAGTAGGTAGAAGTGGGATTTGAGTATGAAATAGCCATCTTCAGTTTGTGGAGTCCCTGGAAAGTGGTTATAGACCAGCACTTTCTCTGGAGCATGGCTCTGGCCCAGAAGGCCATTACCCCCTCCTGTTTCTGTGAACTGCTTTCCCTCTCTTGATTTGGGACCACTATTCCATAACCCCTGAGAAGGGTCTTGAATGATTTTAAGTTTGTTTTTTAACTTTTTGAAGACATTCACTTGGCTTCAATATAAAAATGAATATAGAGAGGCATACTGTGAAAAGTCTCAGTTCCCCTGTCTCCTACACTCCTATTTCCTACCTACCCAAAAGATAGAACCATTTTTATTAAATACTTTGTTTATTCGTGCAAACCCAAGTTAGTATGACTGCATACTCTTATTTTTCTGCTTCTTTGTACAAAAGGTGATCAACTACTTAAAAGAACTTTTTAAAGAGGAACCAGTAACAGCTGTCCAGAGACATCCACATCCTTCCCACCTTTTCCTTTTCCCAGGTTTGGTTCCAGGCAGCCTTGTCTATAGGCTCTAGCTTCCTGAGCCACCTGGTGGCCATGAGAAGCCACTGCACCCACTGGGCAGTAGCTCTCATTTAGAGCAGGGCTTCTCAATGTGCCAGTGCCTACAAGTTGCCTGCAGGCTTTATTAGCCTACTGATTCTATTCTGATGAACATGGTCTGGGGTGGGGCCCAGGAACTCAGCATTTCTAATACACCTCTCAGATAATGATGGATGCTTGCTGCCTTCCGTGAGTAGCACAAGGTTAGAGCCCAGCTTCTCAATCTTGACACGGCCTTGCAGTGTCCTGGAAAAACTGAGAAGTGACCCATGTCTGCCCTCACTGCCCCAAAGGCTGACGCAGTGGGTATGAGTGACGAGTAGGCAGCAGAAAAAGTTGAGGGACACAAACTTGAGGCCAGAGCTGTGCCCCGGGTGGGGTTTAAAGCAGGAGCAAACGCGTGCCGTCGTTTCTTTTATTCATAACTACAGTTCTTCTTTAAAAGCATCTGGCAAGCACTTTGGCACCATTCGAGGCCAACTCTTCAGACACATAAGAACATGGAGCCCAGCTGGGGTAGTGACTGGGGCGGGCAGGGCTACTCCACAGGTTAGAATCAAGACAGTCTTGGCATCCACCCTCCAGGCAGACTCTTCTCTCTTTTGCCACCTCAGATTTTAATTCCGCCATAGGAGTTTTTGAAATTCTGATGCTGTCACATTTTAAATTCAGAGCTAAAATAAAAGGGGGTCCTCCCTGGTTTGTCAGTTGTGAAATGGCTTCCTCATCCCCAATAAATACCTTGCCTAGATATTATTAATAAAATACATTGTTATAACACTGCCTGAAAACCCCCTGAGGTTTTAAGACTTTATTCCCTTATGCAGTTGTTCAGACCAAAAGTTTTGACCTAGCACTTACCATTAATTAGCTGTGTCCTTCCCTTTTTCTCACTCGTTTCCAAATTCTGTCAACATTCACTGAGTTTCTTCTGTGTTTCCAGCTCTGTGTTGGGCACTAGAGCTACAATGGAAAATAGGTGTTGGGTTGCTCTGTTTGCAAAGGAACCACACTAAATCTTAACAAAGACTAGCAATGGAGCAGCATGAATCTGGTGGGAGCTAAGCATGTTGCGATGATCAGGACAGATTTCCCAAGAAAGCAACGATGAGCCAAAACTTAAAGAATGAGCAGAAGTTGGGGTCTTAGTCCATTTGCACTGCTATAAAGGAATACCTAAGACTGAGTAGTTTATAAATAAAAAAAGTTTATTTGACTCACAGTTCTGCAGGCTGTACAAGAAGCATGGCGCCAACATCTGCTTCTGGTGATAGCCTCAGGCTGCTTCCACTCATGGTGGAAGGTGAAAGGGAGCTGGAATCACATAGCAAGAGGAAAGGATAGAGAGAAAAACACCACGCTATTCCTAAGGGATCTGTTCCCATGTCCCAGATACCTTCCACTAGGCCCCAACTCCAACACTGGGGATCAGATTTCCATATGAAATTTGGAGGGAACAAATATCCAAACTATATTAACTGGAGTCTTGGGTCGTGGCACTTTGTTGGAGTGTAAGGAAGATCAGTGGCTAGAAGCAGAGAGGGAGGTGGGAGGTGGAGCTAGAAGCGGGACAATAGCAGCAGGGAGGTACACACACAAACAGATACTCCAAGAGTTCCAGGGAGGCATCGAAGAACTGAAGGAGAGAAGTGACAGGATTGACTTTGGAGTTCTGAGTGATCTCAGAAGCAAGAGGGTACCATCTGAAAGTCTCCGTGAATGACTGTAGGGAATGCCACCCACTGTTCTCTCCCTTTTTTTTCCAGGAAAATCCCACCAGTGCCCAGTACCACATCACCTGTTTCCACACGTATTCCTCACCGGACAAACTCTGTGCCGACATCACAATGTGGGGTCAGCTATCTAGCAGCAGCCACTGTTTCTACATCCCCAGTTCTGCTCTCGTCCACCTGCATCTCCCCAAACAGCAAATCGGTACCAGCGCATGGAACCACACTAAATGCTCAGCCTGCCACTTCAGGGGCAATGGATCCTGTGTGCAGTATGCAATCCAGACAAGTGTCCTCTTCATCCTCTTCCCCTTCCATGCCCTCTGGCCCCTCCTCAGTTCCCTCCTCCCCTATGTCCAGGAAACCTCAGAAGTTGAAATCCAACAAGTCTTTAAGGCCCAAGGAGTCTTCTGGTAACAGCACTAACTGTCACAATGCCGGTAGCAGTACCAGTGGCGGCTCAGGAAAGAAACGCAAAAACAGTTCCCCACTATTAGTTCACTCTTCCTCGTCTTCCTCTTCTTCTTCTTCTCATTCCATGGAGTCTTTTAAGAAAAACTGTGTGGCTCATTCTGGGCCATCCTACCCCTCAACAGTAACATCTTCCCATAGCATTGGCCTCAACTGTGTGACGAATAAAGCAAACTCGGTGAGCGTCCGGCACGACCAGTCAGGGAGGGGCCCCCACAGTGGGAGCCCTGCTGAATCCATCAAGAGGATGAGTGTGATGGTGAACAGCAGTGATTCCACTCTTTCTCTTGGTCCTTTCATTCACCAGTCCAATGAACTGCCTGTCAACTCCCACGGCAGTTTTTCACACTCACACACTCCCTTAGACAAACTCATAGGAAAGAAAAGAAAGTGCTCACCCAGCTCGAGCAATATCAACAACAGCAGCAGCAAACCCACAAAGGTTGCCAAAGTGCCTGCCATGAACAACGTCCACATGAAACACACAGGCACCATCCCAGGGGCACAAGGACTGACGAACAATTCCCTTCTTCATCAGGTAGGAGATGGACTGGGAGTCCCATGGGAATGCCCGTTTCCTCTCCCTTGAGATCTTTTGCCAGCTCAGAAATCTCTGTGGTTGGGTTGGTTAGTTTGCCTATAAACAGATATCCAGTTTCGTGGTGTCTTTAAAAAACAAGACAACAAAAAAAAGGAAGAGTTCCTGGGCATGAAAGGTAAAACAGGTTTCTCTCTGCCTGGATTTCTGATGCCTTTGGAAGGTGTTCCTGGGTAAGGAAATCACGGTAGCACATTTAACAGCTACAGCTACAGAATGCATCAGCATGACAGTAGGATCAGAATGGGAAGGGTGTCCCTTTTCACAGCCAACAAGGTGTTATCTGTGAGAAATGTGTCATGCAGTGCTTCAGGAAGGAAGTCGGCAGTGTCTCCTGGATAGTGGTTCTCCAGTATGTGCCTCTGAAGAAAGCTGAGATAAAATCAAACTGATCTAGGACGGGGTGACTTAAGATTTAGAAAGAGCTTTTTTCCTCTCAAAGAATTTAGGTAGTCTGGTTAAATTTCGCCCCATATTTTCTCCTCCCTGTTTGTGAGATAGGCAGAAAAACAGGATTCCACATGAGCATAGTGGAAGACTAAAATCTCATTCCAAGCTAATAGTTTAAAAAGAAATCTGAATGTGGCCTCATCAGAAGTGAAGTGGCTAAGTAGGTGTTGGGTTCATAATTAGCCATGACTTTCTCTCTACACGATACCTTTGTCTTTCTCTGCTCTTCACTCTTCCTTCCTGACCTATCTGTACCTGTTTTCTTCCAACTTCTTTGCCCAACCTTACAGCTCATTTCATCTTGTTATTTCATTCATCAGGATATCGCCTCACCTTGCTTGTGAAGAGAAATTTTAGCAGCATCACCCCAGAACCCTGATTTAAATGGGAAACATTTTTTATGGGTTTTTCCCCCCTTCCTCATCTTCAGAACTTAACTCTCAAATGCCAGGTTAGGATTTTTTCAGGAAAAAAACAGGAAGTTTCTTACTGTGCTATAATTTTTCTCCAATGTTTGTGTGAATTAACACCCAATATCAAAAGTATGGGGGAAACATCTGTGAACAAGCTGCTAAAATTGTGAGTTATCTGTATGTTGTTTGGGTTTTTTGACCAGGAGTTTACTGGAAAAATGAGAATTCTGCTTTTTCTTCTTGTAGTTTTTGTTACAGTTTATGATAAGAATAACAATGCAGGACAAAGACGGCAAGAAATGATGTACCCACCTTTAAAAATATCCCCTAAGAATAGCGTCCTGATGAGATGTGATCCCCTCCATGGCAGGGGCATTCCATTGTGCTCTAATATCCAGCTCACATCTGTATTAGTGAGCATACTCTGGCTTCACTTATTTTATTTTTGAGCCAGAGTCTTATGTTGCCCAGGCTGGAGTGTGGTGGCATGCTCACGGCCACCGCAGCCTCAACCTTCTGGGCTCAGGCGATCCTTTTGCCTCAGCCTTCCAAATAGCTGGAACCACAGGTGCACACCACCACATCCAGCTAATTTTTTGATTTATTATAGAGACAAGGTCTCACCAAGTTGTCTAGGCTGGTCTTGAACCCTGGGCTCAGGCAATCCTGACACCCCTGCCTCCCAATGCGCTGGGATTGTAGGCTTGAGCCACCATGCCTCACACTCTGGCTTCAATTAGACAGGTGTAACCTTACTCCCCATAAGTAACAAAAAGGACAAAGAGGCTGGGCAGGGCACAGCAGAAAGTGACACTGCCTATAGAAAATCGGGGGGCAGGTGCCCCATCTCCATAGAGCAGCTGCTTCCAGACATTTGTTACCAGTTTTAAAGAGAAACTGCAGATCTGAACTTAAATGCGAAATGTGGTCTTTTTAAAAGGTGTGTGTGTGTGTGTGTGTGTGTGTGTGTGTGTGTGTGTGTGTGTGTAAGTAGACAGATTTTTTTCCTTGAATCTGTTATAACCTACGCATCTGTTACCCATCTTTTGCTCATGACCTGCCAGCTTACCACCTCTGATTTTTACCATCTATGGGGATTGTGTCCTACTAGGAAGATCCCAACAGTCTAGCTTTGGGGTTTTCTTTTCCCTTAAAATCAGTTTCAACTTAAGTTTGCATTTGAGAAATATTTTCTCTGTACAGTAGAATACTTTTTATTATCATGCCCAGATCAGAGGATGAGTGAACCCCAAGAAGTATTGTACATTTATATGTCTGTGTTCATTTATCTTTGGTCGTGATCATATAGATTTCATCAGAATCTCAAAGGGACCACGACCCCAAAATGCTTTAAAGAACGATACTGTTAGAAAAGTAGGGACCTCAGCTTGCTGTTCCTTGTGGAGCTGCATTTAAAATATAGCTGAACTGGTCCAAGTCTTCTAAACAAGAGGATGAGTGAGAGAGACATGCTGGGAAGCCTAGGAGTTGGGATTAGACAGGCACCCCCAAAAGTCTATTCATAACCTCTGCCATCAAAGACTTAAAAATAGCCCACCATTTTTTTGTAGTTGGAGTCTCACTTTGTTGCCCAGGCTGGAGTGCAGTGGCACACTCATGGCCACCCCAACATTGACCTGCTGGGCTCCATTTATCCTTCCACCTCAGCCTTCCAAGTAGCTGGAACTACAGGCACACACCACCATGCCCAACTAATTTTTTGATTTACTGTAGGTCTTACCAACTTGCCCAGGCTGGTATCAAACTCCTGGACTCAGACAGTCCTCTCGCCTCGGCCTCCCAAAGTGCTGGGATTACAGACTTGAGCCACTGCGCCTGGCAAAAATAGCCCAATTCTAAGGCCAGAGTTCCTCTCCCACAGTGTGGGCACTGCCTTGGACGTGAGCTGTCACACCTGTGTCTGTTAGCCCATTTGACCTTTTTCGTTTCTTAGTTGACAACCTGGAAAACCTTCAAGGACACAAAATCAGTAAATAAAACCAAAAGGCAAACATGAGAACCTTTTCTCTAAGCTAGAAACCCAGGCCTGCATATCTTCTAGCCAGATTTCTAAAAGTAAGTCTTTAAAATGATCTTGCCCAACAATAGTGAAGGCTTTTGAGAACTAAGGCCAAATTTGGAAGCTGACTGCTCCTGGCATCACATAGTCAATGGAGACGTTAGTGGCATGCAGCCTTTGGAATGAATACTCATGTTAGACTCAGGGGAGTACGGTGTATAACTACTTACTTACCTTTTCATTATTTCCCCACCCCCTCTTTTTTGAAAGCCAAAGGCACGTCCTTGACAGCTGAAAATAGCACGGGGAGGAATAATCCGGACACTTTTGAGGACAAGTTACACCTCCACTCAGCACTCCGGACTCCACGATGCCTTTGAGTCTGTTTTCCCAACCTCCTGTGGGCCTCAAGGGTAGACACCTGCTGGGCTGTTATTTTAACGAGGATTTCCCTGAAGCTATGTCTGTAGCAGTGAGTACTCATAAAGGACACTGGATCATGTTCAGCCACCGAATTGCTTTTATCAGTGTTAAAGTGGTCTGGACTGCTTGCTACCAATCTGTGAGAAGTTTTTGTTTTTGTTTTGTTTTTTAACTTGCAGTATATCTTGGAGCCACTGTTCGAGTAGATTGGCTGGGAAAAAGAATGTTTTGGCAAGAGTGTTACTGTAGACCTTTCTCTTTCTTTCCTCTCTCCACCATTTTTTTACACTAGTCTTCTGTAGGTCATTCTCCAGCAGTTAGAACCTTAGCTGAAGACTGGAAACCTTCCAGAGGGGAGAGAGCTGTACCCTGAGTAACCCTCTGGAGAAGGGAATTTGGCTTTAGGTTTTTATAGCAATGTTCCAGGAATGCAACATGGATAAGGCACCATGACAAAATAGCCCAGCCCTTTGCAAATAATTTAGGATAAGAAGCTGTCAGAAGTTTCTAATTTACAAACTGATTAGAAACTATTGATGCCCAGAAAGCAAATATAAACCATTTTAGAGGCTTAGTTTTCATGGTACAAATGCAGTTCTGTGTGATTTTGAAAAAAAGAAAATGCAAGCTAGTTTTGAGAAAGGAAAGCCAAACTGGGGATGGCGGGGGGAGGGGGCTAGGGAGGTAAAATCACTATAGAGAGAAAAAACTTTTTCAAGATTTCCAAAGAGAAGGAATTTTCTTATCCTTTAAGTTTCCTTGTTAAACATTATGTCAGATTGGGTTGGTTGTCCTACCCAGTCTAGTTTTTTTAAATCACCTTTGAAAGTGACATTAAGATGTACTTAAATATTTCCAAGGCACTCTCTGCATTACCCCATTTTCCTCTTTGGATACTGTCCTGGGACTGTGTGGATTTCTGCTTCGAGTGCTCCCAGTATTGTATGTGTCTGCACTTCCCTTCATGCCACTCCAGATGTTTACTTGGATGTGGCTGGGTGGGAGCAGGCACCAAGGGGAGGGAGTTGGAGACCCGTGTACATGTCCCCATATGCAAGTCTTATGTGATGCATATAGAGGATTGCCCTGACACACACCCTTCTTTCTTGGGATTATGCCAGTCATCTTCCTGAGAGAGTTTTGGAGCCCTCCAGGATATTTTTACTAGTAGCCCCCCCCAAAGAAAGAGTTTAATATGTTAAAACAGCATTGCTTGAGAAGGTGTCATTGGATTTTGGGATTGAGCTGGGGCCTTCTAATGGGTGATTCCGCCATCACAAGCTCCTGACATGAGAACCAGGCACTTTTGCTTAGAAAAACACACAAAATTGCCGAACACAGGGTAAAATTTCCAAACAGAGCCAGTTAGTGCATCCTTGTTTTCCTACAATTCTTGGGTTTCAAACTTCAGTTTCAGGGAATTTCAAGTCAACAACAGGTAGAATGAATAAATACTTGGTTACCAGCCTAATAATGTGAATTGCTACAGAATTATTCTTATTATGTAAGAAAACAAAAAACTTTATGCAGATACTTTACTATAAATTGATGTAAAATACTGATTTTTTTTTTAAAAAAAGAACAGTATCTTGTTCTCTTATTATGCAATCAATCGGTAAATGTTTTTAAGATGATAACTATAGGAGAGCTTAGTAAGGAGAGAGCAGGGATGGGCCAGTGTGGTGTAGTTGGGAGAAATCAGACTGGTTTCCATCCCTGTAGGGGGGAGAAAGAGAGGAGGTAAGAGGGAATCAGGACATACCTAGTCGATTCCTTGGTGACAAGTGCAATGGGGTATGGGTAGAATTTATTTTCAGAGCCAAGGGGACTTGATGGTTATAAATAAAGTTGCTTTTAGCAATGGAATTTATAGACAGATCATGTTGTTCCGAAAGATGTGAATAGGAGCTACGATAGCAAGTTGATTCAGAATAATGTAGATATTTAGATTAGTGAGTGTTGATCATTTGATTTCTTAGACTGAGGTTTTAATTGAATTTCAGTATGTCTCCCGGTAATACACAGAACATCGGGATTAGGAAATTAGCCATTTTGGATTCTGCCTGCCACAAACAGACCTATTCTAAACAGTGCTATTAAATTTTAGACTGTTGTTCAAATATTTTATTTTCTCCTACAACTACTTTTTATTATGATGAGCAATTATAAGACCATTTAAAACACGGGAGTACAAATATTTTTTTGAATTAAATTAACTTGCAAAAACCAAATTTGCAGTAGTTGGATTGTTTCTAGACAGACTTTGGTATCAATTTAAAACCAAGTAATTTTTATATTCTTTCCAATAGAATTTCATGACAACTCCTGCAGTTTTCTTAACCTACAAAAAAAAAAGTGCTGCAATGTTGAACAAAGAATTATACAAAACCTACTTTTGTATCTTTATTTTGGAATTTCTTGTTCTATTATAAATATGGAAGTATCCCTATTTCAGAAGACATATTTTGTTAAAATGAATTGTACATATTTAAATATGTATTTTTGCACAGGTCTTTTTTTCTGATATCCTGTTTTGGTACAATTGAGATCATCTAGTATTTATTTATTAATTAATAAAAGTAAATACCTTTTTATAATTTGAAGTGGTTCACTGCCAAGCCAATAGTTCTAGAACCTGCCTCCTTTACAGTTTAAGGGATGCCTCTGTTCTGTGAAAGTCTTTGTCCCTTTTAATGTGTCGGGAGTGGATTCATACAGATGAAGTGGGCATTGCTTCTCCCTAGTTGCCTGATTTCCCGATAGACTACATGTAACTAAGTGACACACTGCTTTTCTTTTTGTTAGTGTTTTATGTGTGAGTGTGTGTATGTGTGTGTGAGTGCGCATGTGTGCCTGTGTGTTTGTGTGTATACACCCTGAGCACATGTGTGTTAATATGTGATGTGGTTTAAAACTAATGGAAAAAACTGAAAGTGCCTGAACCTAGTTTTAAGCTTAGACAGAATCTCTTTAAAAAGACTTGAATGTTCAGTTGAACTTTTGGAGTTTGCTTTTTCCACCTATCTATTACTTCTGAAATTTTAGGGGAGAAGTTGAAAACCACCAATGCTGGTAATTTTATAAGGTATTTTAAAATTAAGACCTTTTGGTTCACAGTGATTCAACTGGTGATGGATTACCCAGTGGCACCAAGGGTTAAAAAAAATCTTCTTGTCAGCCAGCAACTTACATGATGTGTCTGTTTTGTTATCACTTATGAAATACGGAGTTAAAAATAGAATATTTAAAATATTTTGTATTCCAAAAATATAATGCAAAGAAGTACCTCTGAGAACATTGGGAAAAAAATGTATAATTTGAAAAATGTAACTTATAAAGGCAGCTGTCTTCCTGCAAGAGTTCTGTTGCCAAGGAATTTCTTAATGTCTCTCATTCTGTCCTGGGGGGAGTGGGCTTTGAAAAAATTGTTTAAAGTTTTATTGTTCAGCAGAAAATAATCATTTTTACATTTTGTGCAAAACATTTTACATTTTCTGATCATTTAAATGAGCACTACATACTGTCAGTGTGAATGTAGGGCCTTGAAAGCATTTTGCTATGTTTTTTTGAGCTTGGTTATAAAAGCAATCTCCTGTGTTGAAAACGTGTGAATAGTTTTGATAATTTGTACACATAATCAAGAGCATCTCAGCTGGACTTTGTGTTGGCTGCTGTATAGAACATGAACAAATGTCAAGGGATAGAAAATTACTTTGGATATTTAAAAGAGAAGAAATATATAGTCTATTTGTTTTGTAACAAGTTTCTGTAAATAAAATAATTTATACTATTTATAAGAAAAAGTTGTGCTTTGCTTTATGAGAAATTAGTTTGTGGAACAAACATGTTACTAAACGGGCAATAAAATTAGGACTTCTCAATAAATAAGGTTGGCTGCATGAAATATTTTACATGTTTCTGCCTCATTGTGACACTAAACCCTTTCAGTCTAGTCTGACTTTTCTTCATGTTTGGCATCAGCCTCCTTGCTGTAGAAGCTACATACTTCTAAGGCCTCAGATGTGTTAGTTCTTGGGCATAAAGCTGTGCTTTGGATAAATTAGTAAGTATGTGAACAGTGAACATTACTGTATTCTGGCCCTGCATGTTTGTGAAGGAGACAAGGGGGAGTTGATGTACTTGCTTATGTGTAAATTTGATGACATATAGTCAGTTTTGGTTAAAGGTCAGTTTTTTATCCAGAACTGGTCTAATCTCGTCCTTGCTTTTACATACCTCCCTTTTCAGCAATACGATTGCATTTTAGTATTATTCAGAGTGCAACATAATCGTTTTTCTTTAGAAATCTGGCCACTTCTATTCTTTGCAAATAAATCATTTTAAAAACTTAGTTCCATTGCTTAAAATAAAGGGAGCAACTGCTTTGTGAATTGGAAAATGTCCACATGTTACATCAAAGAGTCAGGCTGGCTTCAACAACCCTGCTGTCCCATGTACTTCATTCATTCCCTCCTCAAATCAGCCTCCTTGGTGCTCCACTCAGATCTAATCATAAGAAACTCTCTGTAGATAAAATTTTAACTGTGGTATCCTCAGACCTCCTGGGAAAAGGTTCATCTGCTTAATCACTCACCCTTTTAACTTCCATTCCCTTGTGGGTATCCTGGCCTTGGATAACAAGAAAAGATCCCAGTTCAAGGAAGGGGGGTTGCTAGTGTTAGGTCTTGGCATATGGCAGAAAAGCAGGCAGGGTAGACCATTCTAGGCAAAGGGAACATGGTATAAGGAAGTGAAGAACGGAGAGGAATTCTGCGTGAAGCCAGCTGGACAGGAGGTGTTGGTAGGGTTGGAAAAGCTGGTGTCAGAGTGTCAAGGACCTTGAATGTCATGGAGCTTCATCCTAGGAACACCTGGGATCGGGCTCATATTGACCCGGACTGTCAGGGCCCAGAGATATTTCATAGTCCAGTCTTAAACCATGCAGCTGCCAAATCAAAGCCATTCAGATCTTTACTGAAGATAGTGGAAAATCAAAGTAGCACTAAAGTCTCTTTCCTTGTCTCTTGCATTTTCATACTTTTTTGATTCAAACATCTGCCTTTACCCTCTGCCCTTGTCCTAATCAAAAAGCTCTCCCCTAAATCAAACCTAAGGTCCTTTCGCTTCTTACTCCTCTCTTAGTCTCCTTTTTCTTGGAAGAAAATCTTGCTACTCCTGTTGCCAAGGGCAGTTAATTAAATTTGTCTTTCCCCTTGTAAGGCTTTCATTCTTGGCACTTTTTATCCTTATTTTCCACAAACCAAAGCCCATAGGCCAAAGCCAGCACTACCAGAATATCTCTTAGGAGACAGAGGAGGATGAGACTATCCCCTAAAGAAAAAGTTATCAGAGGGAAGGGGAGAAGCATACACTTGTAATCTAATACTTGACC